TTTAAAAAATACTTTCTTTTCCATCATAGAGTGAGACACCCACTATAAAATTTATATTACAGTGAACAATGATAAAATAATCAAACTGAACTAGTAAAACTAACAAAATTAAAATAAATATATTAAGAATTAGATAAATATATTCAAAAGAATATAAGCACTTTTTAAAAGCAAAATATCAACCCTACTTGAAGATTAGTATTGGTCTCATCCCTAAAATTCAATCAGTATCATACCTCATAAAAGGAAGAAACAAAAAATTAATAAAGCTTATTAACAACACTTATAATTGATAAATAAAAATAAATATTTTTGGATGATTTTACTAAAAAAAGTCTCCCTTCTTTTTTTTCTTCAAAAGTCTCTTGTTTTTGTCTTTTTCAAATAATACTCTTATATTTTATAATTTTATAATTATTCTTTCCTTTCCTTCTTCTCTTTCGTCTGACGTCTCACCACTTTTGTGTGGTACTAATCACCCATCGTCTTTGCTCCCTATTGTCCTCATAAAGCCTTGTGGCCTCTGCCTCTAATGTCGCCTCCAAACGTCATCTTTAATCATTTGCTCCCAACATCCTTCATTGCCTACCACCTTTGCCCTTCATAGAGATGGTTGGAGAATGACGAGCAACATCACATAGAGATGATGAATTGCCTTCCCCCCTTTACAATCACTCCCATGATCTCAATGGTCTCCCCTTCTTTTGTCGCCTTGAGCACTCATTACCCTAATGGTCACGCTCTCTACGCGACGGGTGGGGAAGGATAGGCAGCACCGCACAAAGGTAATTGGATGAAGACGACGAGTAAGGAAGGGAAGGACATTTATAATATTACAAAAAAAATAGAAACATTATTTTAAAAAAAAGAGAGGGCACTTTATGCCAAATCACCCAATATATTATATATTTTTAAGTTCAATCAGGATTCCAATTATAAAGCCTAAGACACTTTGCAAAGCATACTTGCAAGGGTAAATAAAATTGCAGGGTAAATTATATTATCAGTCGGAAGATAAATATGGGGAAAAAACTTTTAAGAGTTTCAATAAAACCATTCTGCATGCCTTACAATCGTCTGCAAATACTAAAATTTGGTGATAATACAAGTAAAATAACTGAAAACAAACGTTACACCATTCAAATCAATACTAAAATTTTCTGAAAAGATCCCTTTTCGTGTTCATAATTTGACATCCTACAATATAATTTAAATACACGCTTATATCGTCTCAAGAGCTTCCTTTCTTTCTGTGAAGAACATAATCTTCCTCTCAATATCCAAAGAATAGTGACAGAATCGGCACGTGATCTTTTGAATGGTTCCTTTTATTCCCTTTTTTCTGCTTTAATTGTCATTTAGATCGCTTCGGGGCATTTTTGGCAATTCATATGTGGGGCACTGAAACTGAGACCGGCCGTACACTGAAGCTTCTTGCGATATTATGGGCATTTTCGTCACTTTGACTGTATAAATAGCAGCGCAAGCCGAAAACCTCTGTTTTGTTTTCGATGGCGGAGATTTGTGATTATAAAAAGAAGAGGAGCGACTCCACAAATTTCTGATGGAAGATTCTGTCTTCTCCCCACTCTTTCTCGTTCATTTCTCGGATTTGGAGCTGCGGAAGATTTAGGAGTTAATTTGTCGGAGTCTTTGGAAGGTTTCGAGCAAAAAAAATTGCTTTTTTGGAGGTTCTTCGACGGCGATCGGGTGGAAGCTTGAGGTTTCGATTCCTGCTCTGTTTCCGATCTGTACGTGTTGAGCGGCTGCAGCTGCAGATCGTTACAGAAGCTTAGAGACAGATTGAGCTGAAGAAGAAGGTGCGTGACTTGGAGCAGAAAGGAGGAGGAGGAAGTAGTTATGTACGGAGCTCCTCCGGCGACGGCGACGTCGAAGGATCTCGACCTGGGTTATCCGCCTGCCGCGCCTCTCGGCGGCCACCGGAAGGAGGAACCCGAGTCGGCGGGCCTCCACGTGCTCCTCCACCATCCACCAGCACAACAGGAGCAGGTGAGCCCCGGTCTCCTCCGGTTCCGATCCGCTCCGAGCTCGTTGTTCGAAGAACTCTGCGAGGACTTCCTCCCCGCAAGACCCTACGGCGCCGAGACCGACGAGCCCTCGGTTGTCGATACCGTTGACTGCCAGAGGAGGCCTCAGTTCTGGCGGCCACCGCCATCGGGGGAGAAGGTCAGCCCTCAACATAAGGTTGCATCCTCTTCTTCTCTGCCGATGACGCATCATCACACGCAGCAGCCGTTGCAGATGCCGAATCATAGCTTGTCAGACATCTCATACCGGACGATGGGTTCGATGCTGGCGGAGGTGGAACAACACGAGAACGGAGGTGGCAGAACCTTCGCCAACCTCACTCGCCAGAGCAGCTCACCCGCTATCGTCTCATCTCACAATGGTAACAATCTCTCTTCCACTTCAAATTCATCAAAAATGTTCCTCTTTTGGACAAAAACCATGCGAAAAATTTCGTTTTGCTTGGCACGATTCGTGTTTGCGGATTGTTTCTGATGTGGACTGCGTTCTACAAGAACCTGAAATGGAACTTTGCCAAAGCTCTGGTAACGGGAACAAGGAGTAGAAATTTCTTCCTCCGTTGCGTGAGGAAAAGAACCGAATTGCTAAACGCAATAGTAGATAGTCAACGACTCTAAGAGTTGGGTTCTAGAAAATCTCATCTCGTGTTGTTATTGGTCTTCTTTCATTGCATCTGTAGGCTATCCTATGATGAGGGATCTGCGTGGTTTCAGAAATGAGGGTCTTCCTCCCATGGGAGAGGCAGCAAAAAGGTTTAGGGGTCATCAGTTAAGCTTAGGAAAGAGACAAAGCTCCTTGATGTCTCGGATCTCTGAGACGGGGAGCGAGGAGTTCGGCCGCGGTAGTCATGAAGAGAGCGGGTGTTACATGCCTGGTTGGGATGAGACCTCTCTGCTTTCTGCAAACAGCTTCGCAGGGACGAGAAAAGGCAGTGAGGGGGAGGACAAGACAGGCGCCGGTCTCAACCACTCGGAGCCTCAGGTACTTCTGCTTCGCCTGCTTCATTCCATCGATCAGCTTCTCTGGCTGCAACAATTCTGCTTTTGATCCTGAACAGAAGGGGGAGGTGAGGAACCATGTCTCGGGTGTCACACATCAGCTCGGCTTGCCCAAGACCTCGTCGGAGATGGCCGCCGTCGAGAACTTTCTACGGTTTCAGGACGCAGTCCCCTGCAGAATCAGAGCTAAACGGGGCTGCGCCACCCACCCGCGAAGCATCGCCGAGCGGGTTGCTGCTTCCCCTGCTCTTTCCATTCATAAGCTTTCGTTGCCTCAGGTGCTCATTTAAGCATGGATTTGATCAGGTGAGGAGGACTAAGATCAGCGAAAGGATGAAGAAGCTACAGGAGGTTGTTCCTAACATGGACAAGGTAAGTCTCACTTCCGATGCAACAGCAGCACGATCTTGACACTGGATTGACAGTAACAACCACATCCTGCACTTCCCTTACTCGTGTTCATGAATTTGAAGCAAACCAACACTGCCGACATGCTAAATTTGGCCGTTGACTACATCAAGGATCTCCAGAAACAAGTCAAGGTATCCTTCCGAAGAACCATGCTGTTCTTGTAGAATCTTAACCTGGCATCTCTTTGATTTGATTTTACTGTTGGCTGCTGTTGCCAGACGCTGACGGAAGGCAGGGCGAGCTGCTCCTGTTTGTCCAGCAATCAAAATTCTTACTTGAACTCGAAATCAGGAGCGAGAGGTTCCTAAAGACTTGGAAATGGCGTTGACTTTTCAGACTAGATTTGTCTTAGCTGGGATAAAGCTTTTTGCTTACTGGAGGAAACTCCATTGAAGCAGAGAAGACGCTTATCAATCATTGAATAGAACTGAGCCGATCGATTAAACTCGTGTATTACTCTGTTTCCTGCGTCCAATGATGCTTGCATTATCCAAGCAAAGGTTGGCACACTTGTCTATACGAGAAGAGGATGAAAGAAGCCATTGATGCAACTACTCTTGGCCTTCTGTCGAGAAGATGAAATGATGAGAGCAGAGAACGGAAAGGGCGGGGAGGTGGTCGGAGGCAGCTGTATCCAACAAAAGAATTGCTTGCCGTTCAACAAACAAAAGGAGGCCTTCCTTTCCTTCAATTCCACTGTTGGTGGCAGTGATGGCCACGTCCTCAGCAACAAGAAGGCTCTTTCTTCCTATTCACTTTCCCTTGCGTCGAATACCTTCGTGAAGAAGGAATCTAATGTTTCCTTCATCTCGGACCACAAGAGTTGAGGTGGGATTGCCAGTATAACTCATCGATGATGATTGCATTACGAAACTAAGTAGATAATTAGCGTGCATAGTTTAGTTAGAGTCAAAATTGAATCGGTCAAAATCGAATCGGTCTTACGATTCATGATTCCAAACCAAATTAAAATTAGACATGCTTCGTTAGGTATAGTTAAGAATATGGATAGAATAAGAAAGAAATCTAAATATCAATGAAAAATACGTCATTTTTTATGTCATTACAAACACCAACAACAATAATAAAGGTAATTATTTGACATGAAAATAGAAAGAAACATATCCTGTGGATCCTAAACTCCAATATTAGTGCATGTTTATCCTTTTAATTAGCCCGACTCGTTCGCATTTATGCCTTCGTGCCAATTTTGGAGGGCACGAAGTGCACAGCGACTGCTCTCACTCCATCTGTGCGTTTCGTCTGATCGATCACTTTTGGAATGCCAAAGCCAACTGGACTTTAATGGACGGTCGGAGATTAGATCTATTCCATCGAACTTCCATTTGGAAGTGCGACGCACCCGTTCCATTACCGGAAGGGATTCGGTGAGGAGATATAGGTCCCACTGTGGGGACCCGAATTTGACTAGTGAAATAGATGGTAGGCAAGGTAGGTAAACTTATTTTCGTTGTCGGAATTCCCGAGTCCGCCCTTCTTTTACCGTCGCGCACAATTAAAGGTTTGAAAATTTCTAGTCTGAGCTCGAACCGCCCTTCTCCGCTCCATCTGCGCCGCCCATTGCACGATGGACGGCGGCGAGTACGCGTCCAGCCGCGGCCCGGGCGCTCCGACGCCGGCGCGTGTCTCGCTTGCCCACCTCGGCTCCCCCTCCCCTCGCCGCCTCTCTGGCTGTTTCGAAGAGCCGAGCCGGCCGGCGCTGAAGAAGATCGCTTGGGTCTCGCTCCAGGGCCGCCTCGTCGGCGCAGAGGAGGCCACATCGGCCGGCGCAATCGGAGGCGGCTTGAGCGCTGATGAAGCGGTGGCATGGGATCTCTTTAGCCCTCTCCATCGGGTCCTCGTAGTCGCCGTCGTCGCGGCAGCCGCTTACAACTCGAAGAGGGCTCGGCAGATCGAACAGTTTCAGAGATCCGTAGAGCTAAGGGTGAGCGCTTGATCGAATAGGGTTAAAGCTTACACTTTACGCTTATTGTCGACATCTCGTTTTGATTGAATGGAAAACATGGTCACTTATGTTTACTTGCTTGATATTTAGTCAAAGGGCTTCTAGTTACTGTTTGCAGTGGAATTTGATCTGGGAGAGAAAAAAAGTTGCAGCTTTTGATTTCCCAGCTTGAGATCAGGAGATGAAAAAGGAAAAAGAATTCCTTTTTACAGTCCCAGAGTTCTTTGAAAAAAATATTTAAAAAGTGAAACGTTTTATCATCGTCCGGAGATACTTCTTGTAATCAAGACCCCATCTTTTGTACTTTATGAACTTTTTGAACCTTCCAACTCTGTGTTTAGGGTGAGTAGGAAAAGAAGGGCTTTGATGGCTATTGTGTCGCAAAATATCTTTTCTCTAATGAAACAATATACTTCCTTTTTATATGTCTATATCAGAAGGCATCATATCCTCAGCTAGTTGTGTGTAATACCTGAAACTTCTGTTCTTTTCTTGAATGACTTTGTAGCATGGGTTTTCTTTTCCTTGAAATTTTTAGTATTAGAATTTCTAGTCATCCTAATTCCTAACAAACTACCATTCTTTGTCATGAAGTAGCTTTCTCAAAATGTCTATTTGTTTACTTAAATTGCAAAGAATAAATGTATCGTTTTTCTCTTGATGGACCAGGACGAGGTGCTCCTCAGCATGCAGCAGAAGCTTGATAATTTATGTGAGCAGATGAACTCCCTTCAGGATCAACCAGTCAAATGCATTTCGGGGCTTTCATTGGAGAATGATCAATTCAATTCTGAGGTGAAGCAATCACAGGTTGCATCTCAATTTTGTGGTTCTAGGACTTCACTGCTGGAGCTTAACCCTGAGAGTGGAAGTTTGCCTCTTTGTAGACACGTATCAAGTGGGCTACATGGAGGGAAAGTACATGTCTAGCCAAAAATGAAGTTTGCTACATGTAAAAGCAAATCTGTTGTTATTTGGTGTAACACATTATCTTGTCGCACAGGATGCCACTGGGATAGAGTCTGCAAAAGAGGAGGCCTTCAACGCAGATAATTTGATCCCAACGGAGCAAGAAGAGCGTCGGATGTCTGATTTGTCTGATTTTAATTGGAGTGTTACATCTTCTGTTGACTTTCAGGTGATGAACTCCCAAACATTTCGGTATACCTATTGGTAATGTGGTACTTACTTGATTTCAATCAAAGTTATCTGGGTTATCATTTACTATATGGAGAAAAAAAGACATGATTGAAGTCCTGATATTTGTTGTAAAGCTTAAAGAATCAGCATCTTAGCTCCTAAGTTACCCTGTTTGTCTGTAGACATTAGCTTAACTTTGAACTCTCTTGAGAGAGAAAAAAGGTGAATACAGTAACGAATTTCTGTGAGAAAGAGAAGTTTGATTGCATGAGGATTTACTATACCACATTTTGATGATTAGCTTGCTCATGGAATGACACATAACTTGTTGTAATCAATTTATTTGTGAATGATTATATTACTGGTCAGAGGTTTACCTAAACATGTCTCAATGAAATCAGATAATCTTCCCCATATAATTTTGGTACTTGAATTGCTTTCAGCTAAGTGCACTAGCATCAGAGCAAGAATTCTATAACCTTCGCAAGGAGTGTGAAGAGAAGGATGCAAAAATAAAGGAATTAGCTATTGCTGTTGATGCATTTAGGGCTGCTGACTGTAAGGTGATTCTTGTGTTTTGAAAGAGTGCAGGAGAATTATACTGTGATAACTCAATTTTTTTTCCCAATAGAGGATAACGGAACTTGAAGAAATCATAAGGAGGAGGAACTTGGTGATCTCCAAACTGAAGAAAGATAAGGCTGTTCTCGAGAAACAGGTAGAATAGCTTTCCGAAATTATGAAATTCACTGCCATTATAGTTTCCACTGATTTAACTAATGGCATGAAAAATCTAATGTAGGTTGTTGAGCTTACAAGGCTCCGGAGAAGTTCTTCTACTGCTTTGGACACTAGCAATCTGCAGCCTCCAGTCATGGCAAATAATATCCTGTATGACATGAGTAGTACTAGTCCATCATCTTCTGACCCGGATTCTCCTATGACCAGCAAACAATACCATTCTCAACGTTCTGTTGCTGAGGATAATCCTCAGCGTCATGACATTAGAATGGCTGAAATTATAAGTCCATCCTCAGTGGAGCATTTAATTCCCTTGAACAAATCAAATGATGGGTCTCTAAAGCAACAATTTATTAGTCCTCTTAAAGAGAACCAAAGGATTCAGAGATCTGAACCAGCTTCTGCATTAAGACAGAGACGAATTGTGCATTTTAGTGAAGATTCCAAGAGAACCAGAAGGGCTGCTCACCAGAAAGCAAATTACACCTCTTCAAAAATGAGATGGACCTAAATATTAATGTCAATAGGGTAAAAGATTTCTTTCTTGGCTTTATATATCTTTGCTTATGCATGGAAGCAAGGTTCGTCGTATCATGATGTATCGCTTGGTACAAACAATATGTACTGGTCCGATAGGGGATCGGTATGGGTGGTACATGTCATTTTGTCTATATGCTCCATTGTATAATGTGTTGATACGTTGATACATATCGTATCGACATCCGGTCGATACATTGGTACGGACCGATAAGACGAACCATGCATGGAAGTTCAATTTACATTCTTTCTATGTCATCATCATTTTTATTGTTTGTCCTAGCAATCATGCAATATGTGGTCCAGTGTGGTATTCAGAATCCCATTGTTGCACTTGTATATCTCTTATTGCCTTAGACTTAACCAAAGTACTTAGACCAGTTTTATTTACATCACACTGTTACGAATGCTTTGTGTTGTGCTATGACATGCATCAATCATTTTATTTAAAAGTTTCAATGTACTGCATGTAACATCTGTCTTATTTTAATCATCTTCACAGCTTTCCATTTGGTTCATAAACATATGTAAATGTTCAGAATGATCTTTTTTAACCCAGAATAATCTTTCTTTCAAGAGGATTAAAATGCTTCTTTTGGTTCATAAAACATGTTAATGTTCAGAATGATCTCTCTTTCCATAGGACCAAACCCTCTTTGTTAATAGATTCCTGTCAATTAGATTGATTTTGATCATACATGCTTTGTTTCTGTTAATTAACCAGCTGAATGGAATACCATAAAAATCATTAAATTTGCCAATATTCAGAAGTAAATATGCATCGACTAAGAGTTGTAGTTGTTTTTTAACTAATATTTGATCACCGACATATCCAATGAGTGAACGCTAGGCTAATATATTGACTATGTAAAGTGCTGAATACAGGACCAAGATGGCACTTACAATATCTTTGTACTGAGGCATCCTATTGTTGGATATGCATTCAATTGGTTCTGTTGGACAAGTTATTGATGACATTCAAGTTTATATTCTGTGAAATGTACATGAAGTATGTAAGAAAATTACAGATTTATCTGTCTCTAATTGCTTTTGCCATGTTCTCTTCCTTTTATCATGTCAAATTAAAGCAATTTTACAGTATTTCTGATTTTTTTGTATCTATCTATAGTTTTTAAGTGTGTTTTTGATTTCTTGTGTCTGTCTTATTGATCAACAGGAGCAGGTACTTGAAGAGGAAGCATTGATGATATGTAGGCACCGGGTGGAATTATCAATTTTGTACAGTTTTATGGCACTGCAGCTGAAACCCAACAAAAACTTGTTTATTTAAGAAAAGATTATAACATACTGAGAGTTCTAAGATTTTATTTGTCATATGTTAATGCTGAACAATTTTCAGGTGCAAACACTAATGCAAGCTGTGCAATGCTCATTAATCTCCATCAATTTTCTTATTTTTAAATGTCAATCAAGAGAATCAATGTTGAATATATTGTTTCTTGCTATATCATATTTTTAAATGTCAATGAAGAGAAGCACTGTTGAATGTATTAGTTCTTGTCATTATTTTTCCTCTTCTTTCTTCCTGCTGCTGTTTACAGGACCATTACAATGTTGATTGACAAGGTGCGGTTCACCTGTATGGTCCGATGCAGGCAGCACGCTGCTGGCCCTCAGAAACCGGGAGGGCCCGCACCAGCTCGTCATCAATGAAGTGGGGCCCATCGACGGCTAGCGAGGAGGAACCGTGTTCCCTGTCTCACAAGAGACAAGTGAGTTCGACCGGCAGCAGCTCAGGCGCCTCGTACATGGCGGCGATCCACCGTCCGTTTGCCCCCTTGGCTGGATCCTGCACCGTTGATGGCCCGCATGTGGGGGAGGAAATAGCAGGTCCCCCTCCGTCGTAAGAAAAGCTTCCGAACGTTTTGCCTTCTAGAAGCGGTGGGGCTCGCCGGCGGCCGCCATTCTTTCTCCCATACCGTGTACCTTGGCCAAGCCACGAGACGCCATCTCCTCCGCCCTTGTGCCTTCAAAAAATCCTGACATGACACGCTTGTGTGGTACGTGGAACGTTTGTGAGAGGTAGAATGGTGTCTCCTGCGCCGTGGGAGACAGGGAAATTCCGCTTCCTAACCCCACTTAGACCCTTGGCTTCCACCACCGTCTTCATTTATATCCTGCGTCTAATTTTGCCTCCAATAAATCCAACTGGCTGCGCCGTCCTCTCTCTCTCTGAATTCGATTCGAAAAGTCTCTCAAGCGGAAGACCTCTTGGTCTTACGTCGTCGTCTTCTTTCCCTTGTTCATCTCCTACTTGGAGAACTTGTGTCTTTTTTCTTCGTTCTCTGGGATTCAATACTGAAACTTCAGGAGGATTCCACGTACTGAGATCGCCAATCACGCAAAGCTGCAATTTTTATCGTTCCGGCGACCCTTGAAAGCCGTAAAGGTCACATCTTTTCGCTGAGGTCCCTCCGAATTTCTTGAGGATAATCGATTTGACACGTCCCCTGTGGGAAGATTGGTGCGAATGGACCGCCCGCAGTCGTCGGAGCGGGGGCCGGTGGTGGCGATCGAGTGCGTTGCGGGGAGCTCCAAGGCGGAGGAGTGGGGTGGGGACATGCTGCAGACCGGGGACGTGGTGGAGGAGATCAAGATCGGGGGGTCCCCCGCCGTCCACTCCCCGTTCAAGGGCGGGAGGAGCGGGGTCCAGAAGCTGCTCCACTCGGCGTTCAAGCGCGGGGACACGTCCATCGAGGTGAGGGTCCAACGATGTGGCGGCGAGGCGGCCGAGCTCCAGGCCTGCATCGTACCCCACAGCCCGGCCGGGCGGCGCCAGTACGTGCTCCGCTCCATTCGCGACCCCAACTACGCCGTCGGGTTCGTCGACCGCATGGTGAGCGAGTGCGTGGCGTTGCAAGGTGTGGCCTTCGACCTCCTCCTCCTCTCACCCCCTCTCCCCATTTGCTTTGGCACGGATATTACTGTTAATTGTGGGCACAGAGTCGATATTCCAAGTTCGCATTTTTGTTCTCGACGATCCTTTTACATGGACCCGTAGAGATTGTTGTGACATCCCTAACAGTCCTCGGAAGGGGGAGAAGGATTATGTTGGTTTGTAAGACTTGATAGTCTCCTACCATTGTAGGATGGTGGTTCTCACCGAATCTGCAAGCAGTACTCAAATTGAATTCGACTACCAGCAGGGTTTATACAGGAAATCTGAGTTCTACTAGCTTGTCATTCAAGTAATTAAGATGGTGTTCGTTGGTGCTAGCTATGATAGAATTGGAAAAAAGCCTGTAGATCTTAGAAAAGTACATGCAGTAGAGGCAGGACTTCTTAGATTTAGGGGTCATGGGATTTTGTGATAAATTCTGCTATCATTAAAAAGAAACCTTAAGAATGTTATTTGTTTGAAGCCGACAACGAGTTTGTTCTGTAATTAAAATGCACCAAGTGGGCTTCACTTACAAACATATGATAGAAAAGAACTTGGTAGATTCTTTTAAGGCTATAGTTTATTTTTTTCAGAGGTAGCTCCTCAATTAATTATTAACCTCTTGCCACCAGTTCAATGGTTGTGTGGATGCGATGCGGACACATCTTTTGACTTGTCTGATTCTTAATGAGTTAAGAGCTGAAAACAGATTTAATATGGTGAAGCTTTAAGTGAGAGTTGCTTCCTTGATGCATGATCTTGGAATACATGAAAGTGGCTCTGCAAGTGACTTTCATGCTTGGTATTTTATTGGATCCTGTTGCATCCCTAAGCTTGCTTATGTGTATTATTTGCTTACCATGTGAAACAGCTACAAGATTCCTTCCTGGTTGCTGGCTCATTGGATCAACCTCCTTTGACTAAACTTTTGTGGGATCATTGACATAGGCCAGTCAAAGTGATTGTATCTGGTTGAACACATAAGTTGAAGTATTCTCACTCTCATGGATCTTACCTGTTGTTATCAGATGATTACTTGTTAATGCAAGAATCTTTGTTGGTGTGTTTCCAAAGTTAAGTTCTATATGGTAGGAGGGGTTATGTGAGAGAGTAAGCCTCATTGCTTATACTGTAGTTTAGATCATTTTAATTTATCAACCTATTGATATGGATTTGTCAAAAATATATGAAACAATGTTGGAGGATTTGTTTGTCTAATATTCTAAATGCATTTTCTTGAATTACCTGAGGTGATATATTTATCAAGTGATCACTTTTCGTGGGTAGTTTAGTATTCTACCATCAAAACATCTAAGCAATTTCAAGTCTAATCAAACAAAGGTGCCTAGATCCATAAAGAGATATGTTATTGCATTGGTCTGATATGCAAAATTTGCCACTAACCAATGTATAGTCTGATTTCATTGATTAATTTATATAAAGAATTCCATTTGACTCCTCAAATGGTTGACTTTGCCATGTGGATCATAACTGATTAGAGGAGCTGCCCATGCCGTAAATAACAATTATTTTTGTTGTCTCATGGAAATCAGCTTCCTGACTTTTCATTTTTCTCAAACAACCACTAATATCTTGCTTATTTATAAGGCTCAAGGAGCTCAAGGGTGGTCTGTGCACTGAGCACTGCCAAGGTTCAGGATGGATATGTACCGTACAATTGGGAAAAAAAGATGAAGGAATTTCTTCCAGTGCCCAACTCAAGCTGCTTCCTCTCAATGCTGGTACTTCCAAAGGCGCTGGACCTGGTTGCTTCTCGTTACAATTGCCTTGAGGACACCTTGGCCCGTGCAAACACTTGGCTCTTCGCTTCTCAGGCTTCAGGAGTCCCCATTGAATTCATGAATGTCCAGACTGAGGCTCTCTTAACCAAGGTAATCTTTGCAAAGGCTTCAATATAGATCTAAGGTGAAGAACTTCTCTAGCAGAGTGAGTTAAGCATGTTTTATGCCCCTTTCATGAGACATGGATATATTGAAATGATTTGCACTGGGGAGTCTTAGAATCTTTGTCGATTTGTACTTAATAGGTCATGTTTTCCTGTTACAGATATCTGGTGAGACAGCATCTGCAACCGTGAATAGTGGATCATTATCGGATCTTTCAAATCTTGCAAACGTTAGCCTCTATGGGTTTGAGGACTACCATGGGGTTGACATTGGAGTGGTCAGGGCAGTTAGGCTTTGGTTCACCCCAGCTGCTGGGGAACTGGCAGTAGATATTAAACTTCAAGAAGGTGATACGAAACTGGGATTTGCGATCAGTTGCACCGAAGAGGTTTGCTAAACTTCTCACCATTAATCTATTGTTGTTCTTGATAGGTGTAGCTTGTGATCACTTGGTTCCATCCATCAACTTTCTTCTTTGTGATAGTAACACATACCTTGCAGCGATTTTAGTACCCACTCGAAGCACATCTTGTGTTGATGTCGTGAGATCAAAAGCCTCACTCGAGCTTCATTCTTTGCAGGGTTTCATCTACATTTCCTCAGTGGATGATACGGATGATGAAGCAGCTTCCACACGATCAGGGCTTCGAGATATGTTCAGACAAGCAAGAAATGCAGACAAGCTGCTGGTGATCTCGAGGGTGTCAAATGAAAAAGTTCTCCCTTGGATGGTGTCTTCTGCTGGAGCAATTCGCTGCTTTGATACCATCTCAATCAGCCAGAAGCTCTCCTTGCATAGGCATGCTCTGAAGCCAATTCGAATACATGTTCTGATGTGGGAGCAACCATCGGCTTATGAGTTCGCAGAGTATAAAGCTGCAGCACCAATTTCTCTTCCGTTACCTCCATCGACAGCTGATGCATTCGAGACGGGGTTTGAGAGGGACACTGCTGGTGATGTGTCGTTCAGGTTCAATGAAATTTCCCGATCAAATGGCTGGGTGTGACCATACCCTTTGCACAGAGTAGTTTCAGTTAGTGAGTTGAGAGCTGGTCTTTTCATAGTCTCTGTAGTTGCTTCAATTTCTACACCTAGTTGAAGCACCTTTACGTCGCGTGTGAGTTGTGCTGATTGGTCTTAGTTCAGAAATTATGACATGGTTTACAGGAAGATGTTCTCTAATACTGCTATATGCTTGTCTAAAGTTCAAATCTTTTCACCTTGTTTGCGTATCGAAGGCATTACTAAGTTACTGCATGAACTATGTAATTTGGCGAAAAACCAAGTGACAGTGTGCCTCCTCTGAGATCAAGCACAATATAACACATTAGGGACATGAAGTAAAGGGCATGCAGCCTTTGTTGATTAGCTCTCTGATCCAAGTGAAGAAGTGCTTCTTCCTGCTGTAAAATCCCAAAGGTTCTCTGGAATGAGTTCCGCAGTGTGCTTGTTGTGGATTGTCTCGGCTCTCTCAAATCTAGTAGAATATGATTTGTTTGCACAGGTGAAGTAAATCCAATTTAATTCAGACAAATTGTTTCCTTCCCTTGCAGTGCTGATCATTCATGGAAAAGATGACTAGATTTGGAGAAGTTAAATTTTAGTATTCTATTTATCCTTGCAAGGGAAGAAGTCAATTTGATTCTTAAAATCATGAGGAAAGAAAGAAAATATTTTGAAACAAATAAAATTATTCTTTTTGCAATTTACTTCATAGCAGTTTGAGTTATAAAAATAGTTCTTTTAGTAATAAAATTATGCACACTGTCTTTTTCGATCTTATGTATATAATATAAATAATATAATGGAGAGATTTGTATTGTATTTATCTTATGCTTTGTTGGATGCTATTTACACACAGGAAGAAGAATAAATAAAAATAATATTGTAAGTATTTTAAGTGAAGAAAACAAAAAAGAGGAAAAAGAAAAAAAATGGAATATAAACCTACAAAAATAATTGCGCGGGAAGCCCGACCGCGCGGGGGACATAAGTCGGCCCTCCGGTCTCCGTCTTCTCCGTTCGCCGCCTCCATGGAAAAGTTCGTCGAGCCCGTTCACTCACCTCAACAAAACCCTAAGCCTCCTCTCAGGTACGCCCTCACTCCCCTCCTCGAATCCCCACAGTTCCTGCTTTCTAGTAGGGATCTCCCTTGATTCTTGATCTAATTGTGCCCTACCCGAGTTGATTTCATGGGGATTTTGCTTCTTTTCACGCGTCAAGGCCTCACTGGAAGCGGATGATTGCCGAACTCGAAGGAAGAGTGCCTTTCTGTTTTCGGCGCCAAGCTTCTCAGCTTCTGCTTGATTCGCTTGCCGAGGTAATTTGAAGCCCTTGGGTTTTGTTGGATCCCTTTGTGCTTTGCTTCCCGCTCGAATTCATCTTTTGATTCCTTTTATTTCTCTTTATATTTGTGTGTTTTCGGATCTAATTGTTCGTTATTGGATCTTTACACGTCTCATTTTCTTGAGTAGGTTAGGATTTTCGAACATAATTACAGAACCGAACCTGATGGCTGTCCGACGCACGTAAGGATGATGACACTGTAGTTCTGCTATTTCTAGTAGTGACAAGCTTTTTGGGGCTTGTGCCTTATAATTAGTGGCATTATGCTTTCTCAGATGGCACGGATGGCTAACGTTGCAAATCTGGACATGCCGGTTTCTTATTTAAGGTCCATGCTTTTGTATTTCTTTCTTTTTCAAGATTTTATTTTTATATAGATTCAATGCACAATCTAATTCATGGTTTCGTATCATGTGTTCCTGTCATTAGTGGTCTTCTCTGGAATATAAATTTCTTGAAATATGCAGATGCTTGCCGGCAAATGTTTAGTGTGATGCCTTTGCCCTAACTTAGTTATGTTATTTCATATGCTTATCTAATTTAAAAAACTGATAAAGATCCTCTTTTAGATGACTGGATTGTTCAACGATGCAATTGATGACATATGCACAGTATGCAACATAGGAAATTCTATTTTCTCATTGTAAGGCAACTAGTAAATAACCTAAAGTATTTATTTTTTTATTTGGAATTTTTTATAGACTTGTCCTGATAAATGACTGTTCCTCATTACACTCTGATCAAGAAAGTTGAATAAGATATGGATAATTAAAAAGCAGTTTTTTTGTTAATTGTCTATGTGAAACATAAGCCATAGCCAACAATATAGTGTCATATGGAGGTAGGCTAGATATCATGTTAAGTCCTTGTTTGAGTACAAATGTTACAGTTTCTACAAGTGCATAACCCATGTTTAAATGGAAAGTATAACAGGCTGATGTATACTAAGGAGTAAGGAAACTCAAGTTTAATAGTTTGTGGGTAGTAGCGATAAAGATTGGCATGAGTCTTTAGGCAACACCACCTTTCCTCCCTGCAAAAGGAAAAAAGGAATATCAGAAGAGCCTTTGAACTTTTTTATAGCTTCTAAATAAAGATAAGCCTTTGAACTTTTTTATATTATGTACCCAAGGCTTTTAAATATTAGTTAAAAGTTCATCAAACTTTTAAAATACGTTCTTCAGTTTTTCTTTTTCCCTATGAAGCTGCCTTTCGAAAATTGAAACCAGTATAAGTTTTCTTTTCTTGTGAAGAATGGTGCATAAGCCTATTACTTGTATCTCTTTACATAACCCTGTAAGATATTAAGATATATTGGTATGCAATAGATTGTTAACTTGTGCATAATGCTTTTACAGGCAGGGGACTTCTGGATTAGACTTCGACACCAAGGTTACTACTGACATTTGCCTAAGTTTATGAACTGATCTGATAATTACTTGTATTTTTTGTTTTACCAGTTTTATTCAATTCATCTTGGCAACTTATCTATAGGTACATCATACATGGAATATTAATTGTCAGACAAATTCTTCTCAAAATCAAGGCAAATATGAGGAGTCTGGTAAATTCAAAGGACATAGAATAAGTACAAGTAGTGAAAGGAAGAAAAGAAAGAAAATAAAGAGAAGGAAGGAGTGAGTCACTAGCACAAAATATAGAAAACAAAATAGGCCAAAGTATTGGTCCCAAAAATTATCAAACTTCTCTTGGACAGACACACACATATACATACATATTCATCAATTTTTTAAACACTTTCATATATCCACAAAATGGGCCAAATGGTTGACCTTACAATCATCAGATTCCAAAATATAATTTTTCTTAACAATTTCTATAAAATATCAATCACAGTATAACCAATATCTAATATATGATTGCAGAGCAAATCAGTAAAAACTGATAGTATTAGTTTATTTACCTTAAATATTTTCAATGTCAAATTATTGTATGTTGTTGTCAGATCTGGAAATATATATGCAATATTTATTATCTTCTCCCTATTTTCAATGATTTCTCTCCTTCTCATTCTTTTATGATGTCATTCTCATTCTGTCCTTTGAGGTGAAATATTAATAATTATGTATCTTGTGCTTGAATTACACAGGGAATTTATCTTGCATCAGTAACAAAAACAGGATGCTTAACAGTGCATGACTTTGAAACCTTGTACTGTACAATATATGGTCCAAAGTCAAGTAAGCTTCCTTCCCATGATGAACATAATCGATTGTTGGATGTTCTATATTGGCATAAGGTGCTTCCATTACAAGATTATTTATAAATGTTAAGTGGTACACATGTTATGTTCATCCGATGCGGATCATTTTAAATCAAATAATTTTTTTAATTTTGAAACAAAAGCAAATAAATATTGTTACACTTATCTGGTTGCATTCTCAGATGTTTCATCCGTTAAGAAAAAAACAGAAACAAAGAGACTATCAAAGTAGCATGTATTGTGGTTTACATTTATGTGCTAGCTCTTAAAACAGTTTTGTCATAGTGAATTTACAAAGCATGTGACTTACATAATAGGTGCATGTTCATATGTTAAATTTACTAAATACCATTAGTACTTGAACTTTGGGATATATCTCAATTGGGTAACTAAACATCAATTTTTACCATTGAGTGTTATAAAATATTATTAGTTATCAAGTCTGTCACCTTTTGTTGATCAATCTTGATGTAAACCTGAGTCTGCTCCATGGTAAAACTTGAGTTACTAACCTAGCATTAATGACGGCAAGAAAAGTTGTCTGACATGACTACTTGAAAAGTCAAGTTTTTTGTCATTTGTAAATTTTGATTTTTGAGCTTTATTGTGCTTATCAGAAAGATTTTTCTCCTTCACATTATGTCAAGTTAGCAAGTTTAACCCTATTGTATAGACATGTAAGCTTACTGTCAAGACTAATGGACTGAAGTTGATGGTGGACTTGATTGACACATTAAATAAACCTTAGAGGAAGTCACTTGGAAAGAGAAATTAAGTCTGGAAGCCTTCATATTTCCTCAAAGTCCGAGGACTAACAATGTAATTTGTCCTTTTTTATTCATATCTCCCAAGAAGTCTGATATCTTATTCCATGGATTCTTAATCCATAGAAAAATTGTTTTTATATTATTCATCTCCCATGCTATATCCTTTCAGAATGGAAAGAGTTGCCTATTCCATTAAAATATATAAATTACACATGCTCAAAAGATAGAATTTTGATGGCAAATCACTATCTTTTTGTCACAGCTCTCTAAAATAGTAGATGTACATGAGGTTGACCCTAAATTCCTTGTTTTCTACATAGGTTCATTGGAGGATGAGACAAAGGATTTGCTCCATATTTATACCTCCAAGGCATTAGATTCTGTTCGCTGGAATCCGACTAATCAAGATGAGGTTTGCATGATATAGATATGCAAGTACAATTTTTCATGTTCTTGGAAAATGACAAGCATCTTGTAATATGTGCCTTCAGTTTTAATTAAATAATTGTCTAATACATATGTTTTGCATAAGGATGTTGACGTAGATCTTTTTTGAAGTGCCTTTTCGTCACAACTATTTTTAATTCTAGTGTTTTCCTTATGATTGCCAACCAAGGGAAGATTTTGCTGATCTAACACATGTTTTGTGGAAGGATGTTGATGTAGTCCTTTTTTTAAGTGCCTTTTAGTTACAAGTTACAACTATTTCCAATGCTAGTGTTTTCCTTATAGTAGCGAAGTAACTGAAGATTTTTGCTGATTTGAAGTTACCTAACATTTGCATATCCAACTAGTAGATGAATTTTTACTTGTGGCTTTCATTCCTGCACAATATAGTGGATAAACATATATATATATATATATATATATATATATATATATATATATAT